AGAAATAGTAGTTTCTTCCTTAAGCCCAGAGAGGGTTTACAGCAGAGCTGGACTTCTGCCTCTAACCGGGAAGCCCCAGGACCACCAGCTAGTTCGGTTTACTCTCACAGGGGGACCATTGTTCTCAGGCTACATGCCCTTGGTTTTCCTCCTTCCCCAGCTGCAGCAGCAGCTCTTCCAGAAATTTCTCTCTCTCCTTTTATTTGCTACTCCTCTTGTGGAAACTTGGGAGGGGAGAAATTTCAGGAAGAGCTTAACCCTGTGAGACCCAGAATCTTTTGTGCCCTATATGTTCCTATCATCTTGAGCTATAATTAAGATCTCAAAACCAGAAAATCTCCAGAAAATTTGCCTTTCAAATGTACCTGCCTTATAAAGGGGGAAGCAATAATGATAGCATTAAAGTTTATTTCTTTTTCTTTTCTTTTTTTTTCTTTTGTTTCTCTTAATAGCATTAAAGTTTAAAATTGCAAGTTGGTATTCTCAGCCTTTCCTCCAGGCTTGGTCTTTGAACTTAAAGACCCATTTAGCTTTTTCAAAACCTCCATTGCTTCTGTTGTAAAATGAGGTGTCTGAAGGAGGATATTTCTTTTTTCTTATCCTTTATGTAGTCTCCATTTTTAATTACTATAAAATGGAGATAATAATACTTCATTTATAAGGTTATTTCAAGGCTTAAATGAGATAATGAAATATATATGTATGTGGTAGGTATAAATCTCAATTCACAAATTCTGGTGTAAAAGAAAATCATATATATGCGTATATATGTATATATATATATATATATTTTTTTTTTTTTTTTTGTCTTTTTTCGTGTCCGGCAACGGATCGCAACCCTCAGTGTCACACCCGCACCTTGCTCAGCCAGTGAGTGGGAACCGGTCTGTATGTGGGATCCGAACCCTCGGCGGGAGCGCTGCCGCGCTACCAAGCGGCGCACTGTAGCAGTGTGCCACCGGGCTGGCCCTATATATATTTTTTAAATGACATATTCTCTGAGCCTAACTCTCTGGGTTTCTAGGAAATTTATTTATTTTTATTTTTATTTTTTTAAAAGATGACCTGTAAGGGGGTCTTAACCCTTGACTTGGTGTTGTTATCAGCACACTCTCCCAAGTGAGCCACAGGCTGGCTTTCTCACCCACATCCTGGACACAGTACTGTGGTGTGGTATGGGACGGAGGTTGGGATTCTAGTCTATCTTTGAGATGTCTATTGCCCTGGCCCACGTGGGCCTTTCAGTCACTCTTCCACCATGTTTGGGAGAAGGGAATCTTTGACGAGTCTGGGAAGTCCAGTGCCTGTGGTCTCTTGCCTTCTCTGGGGTCTTGACCCTCCCCCCAGATCACTGCCAGGAAGCAGCTCTTATTCCCCACGACAGAAAATTTCCTCACAGTCTAGTTGCTACCTATTTCTCCAGCCCGTCTCCTGTCCTCTTTCCACACGTATCCTCTACAGCAGATAGGCCAAGAAGCCACCGCAGCTGAGCAAGTCAGCTGAGATCGCTCCTGCTTTATGGTTTGGCATTTGCTCTCCGTTCTACCTGCAATATCTTCCCACGCCCACCTCCCAGCCTGATTCAGTTGTTATCCATTCCTAAACCGAAACTAACTTGTCACCTCATTCACTGAATCTTTTTTTTTTTTTTTTTTTTTTTTTAAAGATGACCGGTAAGGGGATCTTAACCCTTGACTTGGTGTTGTCAGCACCACGCTCAGGCAGTGAGCGAACTGGCCATCCCTATATAGGATCCGAACCTGTGGCCTTGGTGTTATCAGCACCGCACTCTACCGAGTGAGCCACAGGCCGGCCCCTCACTGAATCTTTTTTTATGCTGCTTCCAGACTATGAGTTATAGCGACTCCTCTGTGCTAACTGCACAGCTGAGGCACCCATTCCATTCCACCGGAGTGGCCTGTGTGCATGTCTGTTTTCACTACTTGTCTAAAAGCAATCTGAGTTTTGTCTCTGTGTTTCCAGCCACTGACTGACATATAGCAAGTATCCAGTTTAGGGTTAAGTAAATTTCCTTAACAGCAACCCTACTCCTTAGCCTTCTCTCCTAATAATACTGGTCCTTTGTACTTGATCCATGGTGGCACTATCTACATTCAAGCCATTAGGTATTAATGTGACTACCAGGTGACTACAGGTTTGAATGAATTACATGTTCGCTCTCCCAACCTCCTAATTACACAACCAGGAAGGGATGTTAGTGGTCAGCCAGTCCAACCTCCCGTTTAGCACAGAACTCGCCTTATGGACGGTCACTCAATCTCTGCTTAAATAATTTGTATTAGTCCATTTCTGTTGCTTATAACAAAATACCTGGAACTGGGTAATTGGTAAGAAAACAACATTTATTGCTTACAGTTTCAGAGACTGTGAAGTCCAAAGTCCAGGGAACACATCTGGTGAGGGTCTTCTTTGATGGTGGCTTTACAGCAATGTGGGGCTCTCACATGGCAGAAATGGTGGAGGAGAGAGAGAGGCTCTCACATACTCTCCTTTTAAAGCCCTCAGAATCATGCCCCTGACCACCATTTGAGTCCATTCACTACAGCGTGGTCCTACAATCAAATCACCTCTTCAATGCCCCACCTTTCAATTACCGCAATAGGATTTCCCACCCTCTCTACACTGTCACATGGAGGGCCAAGTTTTCAATACCTGGAACCTTGGGGGACACAATTTAAGCTTCACGGGGACATTCAATATAAGGCATAATTCCTAATGCTTTTATATTATGTGGATATAATGAAAGTGTCATGGAAAACACTAGCATGTGGGGTAAACATTACCAAGAAGACATCTTGGTATAGAGTACCTGATTTACTCTGTTGAGGAGGACAGGGAAGACCTGAACAGGCAGATGCTGAGAGAAAAAGCTTCAGTGGAGCTTATTTTTCTTTCGGATTATAGTCCAGGTGAAAAAGAGGCTTGCCTACCCTAATCTAGTAAGCCTTGTCCTGTGGGCTGGATTTGGCTGAAATTCTACAGGTGAAATGACGGGAGCCCTCTGCTCAGTCTTCGAGGAGCCTTTGTTATCTCCACAGAGAGTTTTGGACTCAACAGTTTTTGGAGAAGAAAAAAAGAGGCAAGGACAGTGGCTCTTTGAGTCTCTCAAAGGCAGCACTGTTTCTTTGGGCTGGCACGGCCCGCCGACAACGTGCTGCCCTTCATGCGAGAATGTTTTACTGCCCCAACACAGGGACTGCATGGTGCCAGCCTTCATGCAGGAGAGAAGTGCTGGGTGTCCCTTGTGATGTGAGGACAACTTACAAAGCAGCAAATAGATGTGATCTGACGATGATGACTGTCAATCACTGATTGTCTCCTCTTATTACATCTCCATGATGCAAGTTTAGGGGAGCATTTCCTGGTACTGGGTTGAGTTATGCCTCCTATTGCCTAGCAGCCAACAGTGGTCTTGAGCTTAGAAGTGGAGTGTCTTAGGATCCCTCTCATGTTTCCTTTATTTAGATTCATTATCCAAAGTTGAACATCAATGACACCTGAATCTCAATAGCTGCCTGTTGGTGTAACCTGAACTACCAGAGTGATTCTGCATCACTCATTCATTGATATAGTTAAACATTTGTTAAGGACCAACTCTGTGCCACCTGCTGTACCAGGTGCTGAGGATAAGTGATCAGACAATTACTGTTCACTGGGATAAGTAACAAAGCAGTACTATGTGCCCAGAGGAAGGGCTGATGTAACATGGCCAATGGGAGTCACAGAAGGCTTCACGGTGTAGGTGGTGATCGCGCTGTCATGGTGGATATATAGGAGTCAGCCAGGCGCTGACGATGAGGAAGGGCATGCAGCACTGTGAGGGTAGTGAGAAAGCTCAGCACATTCAGAGAACTGAAATTAATTCAGGGTGGCTGGAGTATGAGGTGTGTGTCCCAAGAGTGGCAGGAAATATTGATGAAAACAGAGAGATTTTTAAAACAGCGTTGGGTGCCATTTGAATTTTCGATTTTGTCTTAAAGGTAACTGGGAGCTTTTGAAACATTTTTGCTGGATGCTGACATGATCAGATACAGCACATAGACCATAAGTTAAGACAATAAAACAATTCCACATGGAAGGGAGCCCATTGTCAGTGGACTGTGCTGGCCTGTGCTAACAGTGCTGCCACAAAAGACACAACACAAGTTTCAGAACGATAGACCTTGTCCTTCATTCCTACTAGAATGTGTTCATTAGAGGCAAGGAGAGTTGCTTTTGTACTCTGTGCCTCTAGAACTGGCTTAATAGATACGTGGCAGGTGCTCAATGGATGTTTGTTGAATGAATGGATGGATAATTGGAGGGATGGATGAATGGATGGAGGGTCCTGCCCCCCCCAGGGAGAAGATTGAACAAGAATAATCCTCCCTCTGTGGGATTTCATATTAGGACTTTCCGATACTTGAAGACTGCTACTTCTTTAGTTTTATGTATTGAGGCTCTGCGTCCTCAAGTCCTTCAACTGCTCCTCATGCCATGTGATTCTTCCCCACAGTCCGTATGGACTTTGTTCTCATTTGCCATCACCTCCCTGATTGAAATGTGGTCCCAAGAACTAAGTGCAAAGCCTCAGGTGAGCTCTGGCCTCAGAGAAGGCTCTCCGGACTCTTCATCTGATTGCATTTCAACTCAGTTTTACCCAGTTATTTAGGCAGACATTTGAAACTGATGACTCACATTGTACCTATAGTAAATGAAAATCCTGAAATATTTTCCATATGTTCTACTTTTATGCCATATCTCCTTCCACAAAAGTAAAATACATTTTCTAATATTTTCCCTATTTGGTATACATGGTTTACATCTTTTAGACACAAGGGTAGAGTTATATATTGAGCTCTTTTAAAACTCAACTTGTTTTCTTGGGCCCATTGTTGTAGCCTGTTAAAGCCATATTAGCTACATTGATCAGCTTCATGGCATCTGCAGACATGAACAGTGTTTAGTTAATGTCCTCATTCAAACAACCAATAGAGGCTGGCTGGTTAGCTCAGCTGGTTAGAGTGTGGTGTTGATACCACCAAGGTCCAGGATTCAATCCCTGGACCAGCCCGCTGCCAAAAAAATCCAAACCAACAAACAAAAACACACCAGTAAAAATGTTTAAAGGATTAGATCTCTGTGGCATACCGACTAGAAACTTTCCCAGACCAGGGTTTTTCGAACTGTGGTCATGATCATTTAGTGGGTCATAAAACTATTTTGTGGGTTAAAATCAGTATATTAAAAACATAGCATATAATAGAATAGAGTGTATCGGAGTTTACTGTGTAATAAGGGAAGTTTTATTTTGTGAAACTTTTGCTTCAGTTACACGCACACATTACTGAGGTCTATATAGCACAATCACAGACAAAATATAAATAATACAGATACAAATAATATTGTGATATGAAGCACATAAAGTGGAGAATAAATGTTTCACCACTGCTTAAAAACAGAGTAAATAAATCAAAATAGAAATGAACTGAGAGCCCCATTATAACACTCCAATCCCAGTTCAAGTAGCTCAGCTCTACTACTCTCCATATACTATGGAATACATTTTATTTGGGGTCTCCAAGGGTGGGGGTGGAAATCCCCCCCCAACAGATTGAAGTCTACTAACAAAGACCATTCTTCCTAATTAAACTGATTAGAAAATGTCTTTGACTTGCTAAGTATGTATACAGAAAATATATTGTCAGACCAGTGAAATTTTGCTTGAAATTTATGTTAGAATCATCTCATGACTACTTATATCCTTCTGTTTTTTTAGATTCTAATGTTAATGTACTGATTAGCAGCAAATTTTATTTATTTACGTATTTATTTTTTATTATTTTTTTTTTTAAAGATGACCTGTAAGGGGATCTTAACCCTTGACTTGGTGTTGTCAGCACCATGCTCTCCCAAGTGAGCTAACTGGCCATCCCTATATAGGGATCCGAACCCGTGGCCTTGATGTTATCAGCACCGCACTCTCCGCTCTCCCAAGTGAGCTAACTCAAGTGAGCTAACTGGCCATCCCTATATAGGGATCCGAACCCGTGGCCTTGATGTTATCAGCACCGCACTCTCCCAAGAAAGCCACAAGCCAGCCCTAGCAGTAAATTTTAAAGTTAATTTTTTGCAGTCAACAAATTCCTTTCAATGGTTGTTATTAACAATTCCCATGGACTGTCTTTGCATATAATGGTCCTTAGTCTATAACTAATTTTTCTTTGTAAATGTGTCAAATAGTTGTTGACAGATATTCCAATTTGCCTTCTTCCAGGCATATAGTAAATTTGGACTTTATCCTATGTAGTGGATTGAATTATGTCCCCTCAAAACTCCCTGAAGCTTGAGTTGTGTCCCTCAAGTTTTATGTGTGAGAAACTTAGCCTCTACTGTGACTGTTAAGAGGGCAGGAAATTCTATTATGGTAATTGAAAGGTGGAGCCTTGAAGAGGTGTTTGGATTGTAGGACCGTGCAGTAGTGAATGGATTAAAAATGGTGTTGAGGGGTGTGGTTCTGAGGGCTTTAAAAGAAGTGGAGAGTCTGTCTGTCTCTCTCTCTCTCTCTCTCTGCTTCCACCATCTTGCAATGTGAGACCCCTGGATCACTGTTGCCACCAGCAGATGGACTTTGGACTTCCCAACCTCAGAAACCATAAGCAATAAATTTCATTTTCTTTATAAATCACCCAGTTTCAGGTATTCTGTTATAGCAACCCAAAATGGACTAATACATCCTATTAAAATTGGTCATGGCTGTGTGACTTGCTTTGGCCAATGAAATGAAACTGAAGGTGATGAGTGGCTCTTCTAGGAGGAGGCATTTCATTGCCAGCACTAGGTTCTACAGTGCTCCCTTCCACCTCCCACGAGCAAAGCCTCCTTGCATACCCATGCTGGACATGTAGCATAGTGAACAATAAATCTTTGTTGTTTTAAACACCTGAGATTTAAGATTTATTTGTCACTAAAAAGTCCATCCTATTATGCTGTTTATGATACACTTATTTTCCTGTACTTTAAGCCATATTTATTCTTTGTTTTAATTTGTGTCTGTTTCTATAGTGATAAATCTTGATCATTCTTCTTTCAGCTCCATACTGTTTGTTGAGCTGTAGTAATCCTTTCCTCTGATTTTCCAGTGGTTTTTCTTTTTCTTTTTTTTCCTGTGCAACAGTCACATTGCAAAAGTCTTTCCTGAATGACTATCAATAGTGGGATAGTTGGAAGTCATACTTTTTTCATTATATTTGGCAAAGAAAAAATATGCTTTTTGGAGGACCTCCGCCCTTCAGCTGCAACTCATTACTGTCTACCTAAATGCACTAAACTAGCCCAAAAGCAAATGTTTCCCATTACAAATGACATTTATCAGCTAGTTTCAGGAATAGGTTTCCTTCAAAATTGATCTAGTTTGGAAGTAACAGTTATGACTCACTACTGGATCTCTCAGGGCTTTCAAAGTGAAAAAGTACAATGGATGAAATGATTAACACTGACCCATGGCATCTTTTGCATGTATGTATCAAAAACATTTATTTCTCCAATAAGGTATTTTTTTGGCTGCCTGTATCGGAATGCCTCCCTGATTATGTCTGGTAGTCTTTCATTTGCATTAATGCTTTACATTTTGAAGATTTTTAATGTAATATATTCATTATTATATTTTTAGAATCTGTTATTTTATTTTGTACTGTTGCTCACAAACAAAATCATATTGTTTAAAAAAATGGTTTAGTAAATACCACTCAGACTTTAAACTTAATTGAAATATGGGAAGTCCCGAACTTCCGCATGGGTTGTATTCTAAAGATTTATAGTCTGCTTCTTGAAGCCGGGGTGACATTTCCCAGAAATAACTCAGAAATTCATCATTCGTTCCCATCCCAGCCACCCAAAGTCAAGTTAACCCCAAAAGTAGTTGGAATACATTTTTTATGGGACATCTTACAAGTCTAATCACCATTTATGACAATGTTTGGGACATCAATGTTTATGACAATCCTTTGGCATCATTAAAAGGCACACATTTATTTGGACACAATGTTTGTACACTACACCTAAACTATTTTATAAGAAGGGAAGAAATGCGGTAGCCCTAGGAACACATTTTTCTCTCTCTTACTGCCATGGAAACAATGGACTGCTAATACATATTTTTTGAAAAGAATGTGGGAGTATTGGAATCTCTTCAGGTACTTGAGGTGACTCTCTTAGAACATCTGGTGTGGCTTAGGATACACGGCAAGACAAAAAGGTCTTTGTGAATCAAATATCTCCAATTTCAAACTTAATTTTATGTAGTAGCTTGAAAGATACCTGAAACAGATCCATGTAGAAGCAACATAATGTAAAATTAGCTCAAATGAGGTCTCACCTTCTCATTTTGATTTTCCAGTTCTCAATCTAATAGGAATATTAGTCTAATAAAAATTTCTGAGATGATGTAGCTACAAAACCCACACTACACCTAGTCCTTCCCTGCAGTGCCATGTGAAGAAGTTTTGGAATAACTTTGAAATTCCTAAATTTGTAGATTTGGAATAATATATGTTTATTTAGTGATAAGTTTCTAGGGTGCTGGTGTCCTGCCATCCTGACTTAATGATGAAATAGCTCAGTACTGAATCAGCAGAGATTTTGTTTTAGGCATTGTTTGCTCCATTTTGAAAGCTATAAAATGGTGGCCCACGGACCAGACAGAAAAATAAATGGGAAAGCCTGCGACCCAATAAGGAATTTATCAATGATGCTGCTTTTGACCATAATAATACAGTACTATAAACTCAAGAAAAAGAGGTTTTTCCTCTGATAAGAATTTTTTTCCAAAGAAAATAGAGAACAAGATCAAAACAGTGTTCAAATTTTTGAAATCTTTTAGAAACAGCTGTGATTCAGACATTCAATAACACTGACAGCAAAGGTCTTCCCATCACTTCTTGAGGAGTGAAAGTAGAATCAACAGTGAGGTTAAATGGTCCTGAGAAGATTATTTTCTTATTTTATAACTGCCTGGAAGACCAGTGGAATTTTCTGTAAGTCACCAGTATTAGCCCGTTTGCTAAATTGAATGCCAGGCAGTTTGAAAAATCTGGGAAAAAAATGAAGCCAATTAAAGAGCACTGTAGGAGAGAAGACAGGGCTCTGAATTTTGAGCCAGGAGATGAGATCTCAGTTCTAATTTCTCTCCTGTACTAATTTCCTGGTCTTTTTGATGACAGAGACTTAATTGAGCCCTTATTGGGTTACTTGCTGTCTAAATTTCTTTCAACTTTAATATGTCCATACCTCAGTGATCTATTGCTGGTCTACTCAGTCAGACAGAAGCATTTCTAGATACTAAGAAGTGGCAGCACTTGGTCATTTATGTTAGTCTTAAGCAACTGTAGTAGCAGCAGCATTCAACTGCCATTCACTGAAAATTTGCTGTGGGCAAGATTCTATGCTGAGTCTTTTACATGCATTCTCTCACTTAACACTCAAAATATCATTAGACATTTCATGTAATTTGCCCAAGTCCTCCCAGCTATAAAATATCTAATCATCTTCTCATAAATTAAATGCCATAGCAGATTTGAATGAAACATAAATCTAATACCTGTATATCCATTCTTACTGGAAATCAGATGTCTTGTGTGTGTTGGCAACAGATTTTAGTTTAGGTAACATATGGATCCATTCATGGATATTATGTGCACTAAGAACACTCGTGAAATCATACAGCATTAGAACTATTAGGACTCTTTTTTTTTTTTTTCTTGTCCGGCAATGGATCGCAACCCTCAGTGTCGCGCCCGTACCAGACAGGGACCGGCAACAGGATCGCAACCCTCGGTGCCATGCCCGCACCTCGCTCAGCCAGTGAGCGGGAACCGGTCTGTATGTGGGATCCGAACCCTCGGCGGGAGCGCAGCCATGCTCCCAAGCGGTGCACTGTAGCAGTGCGCCACCGGGCCAGCCCTAGAACTATTAGGACTCTTAAAGACCATCTAGTGATGCACAGTTCAATACAGTAGCCATTAGTCATATGTAGCTATTTAAATTTTAAATTTAATTTAATTTAATTTAATTTAA